ATGTAACGTGACTAAATCTATCACGAGATAAAAATAATCAAAGTTTTCTATGTAACGTGACTAAATCTATCACGAGATAAAAATAGTCAAAGTTTTCTTTGTAACGTGACTATATCTATCACGAGATAAAAATAATCAAAGTTTTCTATGTAACGTGACTATATCTACCACGAGATAAAAATAATCAAAGTTTTCTATGTAACGTGACTATATCTATCACGAGATAAAAATAATCAGTTTTCTTTGTAACGTGACTAAATCTATCACGAGATAAAAATAATCAAAGTTTTCTATGTAACGTGACTAAATCTATCACGAGATAAAAATAATCAAAGTTTTCTATGTAACGTGACTAAATCTATCACGAGATAAAAATAATCAAAGTTTTCTATGTAACGTGACTAAATCTATCACGAGATAAAAACAACCCAAGTTTTCTCTGTAACGTGACTATGTTTATCACGAGATAAAAACAACCAAAGTTTTCTCTGTTACGTGACTAGTTTTATCACGAGATGAAAACAAAGTATTTTTTTATGTAACGTGACTATAGCTATTACGAGATAAAAATAACCAAAGTTTTATATGTGACGTGACTGTATCTATCGCGATGCTAATTTAACCAATGTTTTCTGTAGAATATCCTTAGAGCTTTCATAAAATGATAAGAAACTTAACATAACTTACCGTATGCGTGTTTTTTGTTTTCATTATAAAGTAAATCATTATAGAGTTCGCGTTAAATCTAAAGAAATACATACTTTTCATGTCGGTTCTGAAGCTCACTGACTTCCTTTCGTATGGTTTCTGCTCCACTCTCGGACGCAGAGCTCAAGTACGCAAGGATCCCGGCAGAGAGCGAGGCTACGTCAGCTACTTGAGGTCTGAGGCCACGAGCTTCGCTGAGGAGCGCCTGCAACACAACAGAAGGACAAGTTGCTCAAAGTGTTTGCTATATTTAGCAGTGAGTCACATAACAAGTTAAAACGTGCAACCGATCAACGTTCCTCTTCCCCCATATTTTAATTTTAAAGCTAAATAACTTATAAACTAATGTTCTCCTTTTTATGATAGTTGGAACTTCAAATAATTTCTTAAACCTCATATCTTTAAAACTGCATTTAACATAGAGCTGATAAATAAATGAAGATAAATACCAATAGATCACAATTACAGGTAAGGATAGAAATCAAAGTAACGTCGAATTAATTAGAGTACAGAAACATTAAATACAAATAACAACAATAGTAACTCAAGACAGGAAGAAATATTTAATATGAATAACAATAACTCAAGATAGAAACCAAAACTCAATAATAATGTTGCGTCATCGAGATCACGTGACTATTCTCACGCCCTCTACTTTCTAGAACTATCCTGTACTTTGGCGAATGCTCTAGCATTTACTAGATATAGGGTAGACTGGTATATAAAAGAGGGTGACAACGTGACAATAATGTAATGTGTGTGTAGACAGTGAGTAATTGAACTGCAGTCAGAAGTATTGTTAACGTTCGTTGATATAGCGTTTGTTATAGAGCGACTGTTGAAAATAAGTGTATCGTAAAGTTGTATTCGGAAAGAATAAACCAGTTTTATTAAGTAAGGTCTTGTGTCGCTAAAGTTTCGTCGGAACGAATTTACGAAAAATCAATTAACAAACGGAGACGTAACAGTACTTTGGTTAATGGTCACTAGATAGCAACACTGACTTCTTAATGTTGAAAGTGAGACAAACCAGGAAGGATAGTTTATGTTTTATTTGTTTTAGATTTTTCCCAACGCTACACAAAAGCTCCCTAATATTGAACTGATAGACTTGAGGAAATTTAGTCTTCTTCCAAGCCAACTCTTTGACTACTCTAATCAAATATTAGGATCTGAAAGTCACGACCACAAAAAGTGGAGCATGATTTTGTGACCACGGGATACGAATCATGAATCATTTATCTATAGTCTGGCTTGCTAGCCACTAGGCTACGCTCAGCTTCAAGCATTAATGCCTTTTCTGTGATTTAACGACTTTGTTTTTAGTTTCCAATTACATAAAGTAATCAGAAACAATATTTATTCTATCGATAGTTTTATTTGGTCAACATAACTTTCTTAGACAGATTAGTTGCATTTATACAATTTGTTTAAACAAATAAGAATAACGAATACTTAATGTTAAATGTTCCCTATGTAATCTTAATTTTTACTAAGTAGCAAAAAGTTATCTTTGGTCGATGAATGAAAGCTTTTATTAATAAAAACTATACCTGTTATTTTGACCTCTGAAGTTAAAATTAACATTAAATTAATATTATAAAAAAAGGAAAAGAAACTAACAACTCCTGAACAATGTAGAATACAAGATAACCCTAGAAAGATACAATACAATACAATCATATATATGCTGTTTTCTTGCTCCCCAGTGACACAGCGGTATGTCTGCCGACTTACAACGCTATTAACCGGGTTTCGATACCTGTAGTGGGCAGAGCACAGATAGCCCATTGTGTAGCTTTGTGCTTAATTACAAACAAAACAAAAGCATAATTAAAAACAAACAAGCTGTTTCCTTTTTCATTTTTTAACTTTTAGATGTTTAATTTACACTTTTAACCAAGATGACAGCTTTTCTTGTTAGAATTTACATTAATACATACATTTATACTTAGGAATCTGTGTTAACATCGTATTTGAATACAATAAATGAATATTTCTTTTCTGGAGAGCTTATTTCATTGAAAATTAATACTTGCTAATTTATCTCTTGAACACTCGCCCACATCTTCAATCACATCGACCTTTGACATCGCGGGAATTGCCGACGTGTGAACGGAAGAAGTCGACTGTAGGGCCTACCCTTCTGTCGAGACCGCAAAGCAAAACATGGTGCCATCTTTACCTTAGGGATATAGCTTACTAGTTTAATCTGTTAGCATCATTAGACTTTTGAAGATTGTAGGAAACATTGCGGATATTATTAATAGAGGAGAATTCGAGAGAGAGTTAATTTTATATATTTCTGGATAATATAATTCCATATGTCACGGGTGACGTTCTACATGTATACAATAACTCATCTCTTGGCTTGGATTTTACAATGAGTTTACAGAAAGGTCAAAGTATTTCTCATAACGTAAGTATCCATCCACAAACTCCGAGGGCACAATAGTATCCTTTTCCTGATGAACTGCTTTTAAAGTACTTTGATAGAAAGTTGTTGGAAAAGAAATGAAGTTTTTAAATTAAGCCGAAAAGCAAATTCATAGCTAAGCCTAATTTCTTTGTGAATTTGTAGATCAACTCCTGTTGTCAAATTCTGTGTCAGCATTATTTACTGTCAATGAAATGTACCATCATTGACGTTATTATATGAACTATTTGTCACTGTTTAATTAAGCAACTAGGGATCATGTATGTGTTTTCTAATTACATGTGTGTGTATATATATATATATATATATACATATACAAATAAATTTCGATTAGTACAATACTGTGATTGTAGAATCTTCCAAAGACAATGAGCACTGTACTACGAAAAAAGAAAATAATTTTGATTGGCTGTTAATTTACTCCCTTTTCTGCTTTCGTAAATGTTCAGTGCAGTAATTTAAGTAAATCTTTATATATTTAGTATTTTGAAGAAATAAACTTAGTAGCAGGCATAATTTTAATACCGATTTTTTCAGAATGTTATGCCCAGATCTAGGATATATATTTTAAAATCTTTGGTATGCTTTGAAACTAATTATTTTGTAGTTAAGAGGAAATGTAATATTGTTAACTTCAGACAAATAATATCACACTTAACACATTCATATTTAACAAAAGAGTATTTATTGTGGCTCCCTTGTAAAGTTTTTAAATGTAATGTTATTAGTTACTTTTTAGCCTAAAACAAAAGCTGACAGCTCATATCAATTCCAAAATACTTTATCCAAATCCCAACATGAAGCATATCCTTCATGAACCAGCTAACATTAGTTAGTCACGAACTGAAAATAATGATGTACAGCTTCGTTGCAATGGTGAATAATCATAATGTTATGTATTAAATAGGACTGTAATGCTTATACAGTATTTCCTTTTGTGTAAATAACATCAGAAGGTTGTATGCCAGCAACCAGTCATACACTGATACAGTTTATTATGAAAACATTTCCAGATCTGAAAGTTGTCCAATATTTTAACACATGATTTTTGTTGGCTATGTTTGGATTGCTATAAATTATGAAACACATGATAAGCCTATGTTTATAAATTATATTGATTACAATAACTGTATGCCAGGGAGGTATATTTTCTCTGAAAAGTTAGGATATTTGTATTATTTACTTTTGTTATTTGATTTGTAATCAGGCAATATACATTTCTCTAATGATAAAGTGCTTTAACTTAAATCTTTTAAGCCACTAGCCCATTTGGGATAAATTACTGTAATAGGTCAATAACCCAAGGCTGGTTCCCAAAAAATGTTTTGCGAATAAAACAATATGTATACAAGATTTTGTAGGAACATCCAAATATACTAAGCAGTGTACCACAGAGAAAGAAAATAATTTTCTGATTGGTTGTTAATTTACTTAATTTTCTGGTTTTGGAAATAATCTATTTGAGCATGCACAGTTTGATAAATTAATATCACTATTTCACTGTGAAAAAGGAACAAATGTCAGAAATGTATAAAACAAAACAGATACTCATTAAGCCACTAGTTCTATCATACTAGTGGGTCTTACTGGCTGCTAGTCCATATGCATTTCTTACTTGTACTGGGTTGTCATGGTAGTGTTAATGTAAAGCCCTGTGGTAATGGTCAGTGCTCAAATTAATGTTTCAGTGTTCAGGGCTTGAATCTAAGTTTTGTTCATTGGTAAATCTTTGCCAAATTACTTTAAAGTTAATGGCAAAAGAAGAGAAAAAGGAAAATTATTTTAAGAACTAAAATAATGCAATTTATTTACCAAGAAAATATACAGATTGTGCTTATCTAGCTTGCAAACTTGTTAAAAAATTGTGTCATTCTTTTCTCTCTCTCTTAAAATGTTTATTTTAATGAGGATCATTGATAAAAGAAACCATCAACTGTTGAGAGTTTTTTTGTGGGTTTACACTTTCCTTCTTCATATCTATTGATAGTGGTGCTTGTGTTCAGGTTGCAGTGCTAATCACTTTATTCTTTTCATGGTGCTTAAGCCCCTCTCACAGCATGCAGTAGATAAGGGGGGTGGAGATGTTGCAGAGATACACTACTTTCAAAATGCTTATAGTCTTCTCTAAGTGTAAGTATAATCTTGGCTTATATGCTACTGCACAGACAGTAGATGAATCTCACATAAGACAGTGATTGTCACTGCCATAATTCTGTAAAACTGCTGAAATAAGCAGTGAAACATTTGAAGATAATGTTTCTGGTCAGGCTGATACTTTTGTGAAACACATTTGTTGCGGAAAAATATATCTCAGTTTGATCACTTCTAAAGTATTTGTCCAAAGCATAATTAATGACTATTAACAATTTGTCAGATCTTTAACTTTCCTATAGTTTAGGGGATATCCCCTAAATTTTCCATTCTGACATGTACATCCTGCACAGAAAGAAACATTGTCAGTGTTCTTTCTAGTGAAACTAAGGCACTGGACATAGTGATGTCATTTCATTGAATCAGAAAAGATACTTTGCTGATGACTTCAAAAATATCATGAAGTAGAAATGTGTAAAAAACATTTAAAGTCTTCAGTTTTTAAAGATGTCCTTTGCCAGCCTTGTCCACAGAAGATTTTCATTATGTGCAGTTATGCTTGTTAAGTTATTTAGAAGTTAGGAAAGACCAACCTATTTATGCTGTGTATATCTTGTCTCTGTCAGTAGGTTCTGCTTATTGAGATACCATTGTTTATATGCAGTTATGTTAATTTAAAAGTAAATATATGGTCTCTCATTGATGGCTACATAATAGGTTGTCCTGAACAGCTTGTCCCTCAGTGGTAAATCTGAAGGCTTATAATGCTAAATCAGGGTTTCATTACCCATGGTAGACACAACACAGATAGCCCATTGTGTAGCTTTACATTTAACTACAAACAAACAAACTGAACAGCTTTTCAATTTTTATAAAAATGGCAGAGTCCATTTTTTGCAGGCCTATTCTGTATCTCCAGGCTAATTTCCTTTTGTAGCACTTATGTTAGCATTATACCTCAAACTCTGTTTTGCCAAGTCCTTTCTGACATTGTTGGTACTAACAACTTGTTGTTTTGTGGAGCAGTTTATTGATGTATGTGACACCAAATTATCTCCACAATATTTAGTTTGTCTTTTTGCTACATTGAAGCTGGTGTGTTTTCAATTCTGCAACACAGTTGTGGTCATTTTTGACATAGTGCAAAACTCCTATCCCTTGTTGAAGAATGGCGTTCTGTCTCTCTAAGTAAAGGACCTGACAGTTTCTAAAGCTGTGGCTGACAGCAGTGTTAGTTGACAGATGTTGATGACATGTTTGAAGCACTGGCTAAAGTTGGTTCAATTGAATTAATAAATGGAAAAATAAAATTAATAAAAATTAATTTATTTTTAAATAGAGTGTACAAATAGATAAGTAAGTTTTGAAAGTAAATAACTAATGATATAAAAAATACAGCAAAAAAAAGAATTAACTTAGCTAGATCTATGTTTTCAGAAATAAGCCCACAATACAAAAAATTTGTTAGAGGTCAGTATACTAAAACCTGTCTTGGATTTTTTTGAAGGCAACTAAAAACTTGTATGCCTCAAGTAGGCTTAATATTTGAGTCATTTTTCTTTTTCATAAAACCAAGTCTATTATTCCTGACAAACTAAGTGAAACAGGAGTCATAGTTGTGTGCTCCTTACATAGGTTGCTTTCCATGACACAACTCGTAAGATAGACAAAATTTGCCTTGGGAAAACTGAACTTTATCAGATATAACTATTCCAACCATGTGACTTATTATTTCAAGGAAATGCTGTGTTTTCAGTTTAAGATTTTTTAGCATTTTCTGAATTATGATAGGTGCCAAAGCATCCCATTAGTCTTACATTCTCAAAGTAAAAGTATGAAACCAAATTGTATGAGAGTTGCTACATTCTTTTTAAATATTATGTATATTATTTTGTAGGATATAAAGCTTTTGCAATTTTATTGTGAAACTTTTGAAAAAACTAAAATTCTTTTATCTTAGCAAGTTTCATTTTATTATTAGATGTTTTGACAGAATTATCAATGTGACGTATATTACTTGACTATACTATTGTATATGCTTATGACAGAGGAATTGCAGTGATTTTCTGTTGAATAGGGTATAACAATGGCTACTGGAAAAGCTAACTTTGCTAGGTGTGATGACATGACTGTAAGCTGACCTTAGTTTAACTCTTTTTTTACTATAGTAGCATACCTTGTTCATCTGTTATTTTTACCCCTAGAGACCACATGGGTGTACTTTGGTGGAGTTTTTCACATTAAATCCTGTGGTACGTGGTTTGCAGAGCTTATCTTAAATAAAATGTGTAATAAATTAATCATATAAAATTTAATATTTCATCAATTTTCCCTAGTTTCTAGGAATACAAAAAGTCTTATAAAAGGATTAAAGATGACTTCAATAGATGGCAAACAGAAGCCACCCAGATTGAGTACAAATTACTACTTGATATTAGGTATGTAGGAGACAAAAAAAATGAAGTATGCAGATGAACCTCTGTAAAAAGTATATCGTGGTGGGAATTTATTTTTGTTTACTACATATTCACATTTTAGTTAAGTTTTCAATAAAAACAAGTAATGGTGTTAATAAACAATTTAAATTTTTAAGTAGTCTTTGTTTAAGGAGTTTTAAAACCCAGCTGCATTTACATTGGTGATTAAGTAATAGGGCTGAATTTCCATGACTATATGTAAATGTCTGCATGTCTATAACAAATTGTTGTTTAAAGCAGCATAGTGTTACACATACTATAATAATTTGAAAAAAGAGCAAATGTACCTTGTACTCATAGTTAATGGTTGTGTTCAAATCTCCTACTTCTTGGAAAGGCATTTTAAGTTTATTATCGTTTTAATTTCTTTTTACAATTTATTACTTAAAACTAAAATATTTGAGAAAAGTGCTTGTCATTCAGCCAAATATTATTACCAGAAAAGTTAA